AGGGTTTTAGGTTTATGGTTTAGGGCCTAAGCGTTTAGGGCTTAGGGGTTTAGTTGTTTAGGGTTTAGGGCTTAAGGGGTTTACGTTTGGGTTTAGAATGATGTGTTGCGGTATCTTAATTCTCCTTCATCCTAGAGTAGGTCCTACAGGTTCACCTTTGGGGTTGCATAGGGACTATAATACGAAAGTCAAGGGTTAGGTAAACTAAGCTAGGGCACTTTAGTGTTGCGGTTCAGAGCTTAGTCTTGCTTGTAACTTATGGTGCTGTGGCTTTAGAGCTTAGGGGTTAGGGTGTAGGTAAGGCGCCTGGGCTGTTTCGAGGTGTTGGCGTTTACATTGGACCTGCAGAGGACTTTGGGCGTTTGGGAGGTGTCAGAATGGATTTGTTGAGGGCTTCAGGGATTTAAGTTAGAAGGGTCTTACCGCATTCAGGGTTTAGGGTTTGGGGTTTAGAATAGGTTTAGGCTTTTGCATTAATTCCTGCCTCGTCAAGTGAGGGCTGGCAGCAGTACTGGAAGGTGAAGAAGCCATCCCAACAGTTTCGGTTGCCACCTTTGAGGGACCACGGTTCAGGGTTTGGGGCGTAGTATCCCCTAAACCCTAAATCCCGAAAGGCCTACACCCTTCACCCTAAAACTTGAACCCTAAACTCTAAGCCCTAAAACCTAAAGCTTAAACCCTAAACCTTAAGCCCTAAACCCCGAAACCTAAACCCCCATTGCCTAAGAGTTGAGCTACAAAGTCGACACTCCCATAGACGCCGAGTCGGCAGGATTAATATAAAAGCCCAAATAACTACCAATATTTGTTCCTTTATAGGGTTCAGACTATAAAGTCCTTATTATAATCATACTATAAAGGAGCCCAAAACCTTATTCAAATCATATATTATGGCCCCTATTCCCTAAACCCTAAACCCTAAACCCCGGTCACCAAGGGCCGAGGCTCCCCTTGGACCTCTACGCTCTAGAGGGTTTTGGGGTTTAGGGTTCATGGTTTAGGGTTTTGGGGTTTAGGGTGTTGGGTTTAGGGTTCATGGTTAAGGGTTTTGGGGTTTAGGGTTTAGGGTTCAGGCTTTTGAGGTTTAGGGCTTAGGGGTTTAGGGAAGATTTCATGTCCCATGCTCTGTCCCGCCTGGACCGAAGTCCTTGTTGCAGCACAGCTCGTGCGAAAACCCCGCGATCCAACAGTCCGGATTGCCGGGCATCCGGTGGCGCGCTTCGTGGCAAAGATAATTAGTGCTAGGGTTGGTGATGTAAATCCTGCATTACCTTAGGACCCCTAAACTGTGGGAATTATGGTATATTCCTTATGATGGGTAATGCAGGATTTATATCATCAACCGTAGTGCTAGTGGCGGCAGTAGCAGTAGCAGTAGCAGCAGTAGCAGTGGTAGTGGAAGATGTACTTGTTGCTGTTGCTTCAGCTGCCACGGCTCCTTTCGCTGCCGGAGCAGTGCGAAGATTAGGGCTTAGGGTTTAGGGTTTGGAATAGTAACACTGATATGGCAAGTGGTCGCAGGCTTAGTAGCCGTGATCGTGGAAACACACCGTCGTCAAGTGTCTTGCGCATTGTCATGCATGGCCGTTTTCATGATTATTGTAGGTAACACTACTACTAGCGCTGTGGCTGTTACTATGCCGTTACTCTTTCTCAATGTCTATCACTACCACTGACAGATGGTTGCTGTTGCTGCTACTGACTATTGCCTGTTCAGAAATAAACTTCTCTCTCTAGTCAGCATGGCTCAGAAAACTTGAGCCACAGCAGCATCACACCGGCACAACTTGTGTGGGGTTTAGTGTTCGGGTGGGCTGTGTATGGTTTGAAGCATTTGGGGCCTTGGGGCGTGGAGCTTAGAGTTGGGGACTTCAGGATTTAAAAATCTAAGGCCTCAGGGTATTGGGCGCCTAGTGTGTTCGGCATTTCCCGAATTATCCGCTGAAAGCAAAACCACATGGTTGCCAAAGGTGCCCCTGCTGGACTTCGAAATCCAGGCCAAATCGCTTGATTCTGCTCGGTGCCTGCGGCTTGCGATACTGTGCTGGGAATGGCGTTAACACTTACAAACTCTCCCAGAATGAGAGGACAGCAAGGTGACTGCGACAAAGACCTCACACATCTGCGAAAGATGCCCGTCCATCATAATCCCAGACGTGCTATTTCAACGGCTGGTCGCCCGATTCATCTTAGCATAGTTGTCGAATTGGGAAAGTGCGGGACATCCTTGTGATGTCGCCTTGGGGCTGTCCGGCGCTTTGCCAAGTGTTCAAAACTATCGAATTCGAGAACGTTCTCTGGCTCTCGTCAAACTCTGCGCATGCTCGTGATGCCCATGTGCAAGCCCTGGATGCCTGGCAGCGAGAGTAGCGGAGCTCGAGTCCTAGGAGCAGCTGGTAGTGGGGGTAGTAGAAGTAGTAGGAGCAGTGGGAGCAGCGGCAGCAGGAGCAGTCGTCGTCGTAGTTGTCGTTATAGTCAGAGTAGTAGCAGTAGCAGTAGCAGTAGCAGTAGCAGTGGCAGTGGCAGTGGCAGTGGCAGTGGCAGTGGCAGTGGCAGTGGCAGTGGCAGTAGCAGCAGCAGTAGGAGAAGTAGCAGCAGCAGCAGCAGCAGCAGCAGCAGCAGCAGCAGCAGCAGTGATAGTGGTGATGGCTGGAGATGTGCCGTGATGGGTGGTTGCTGGTGGTGATAGGCTGGGAAGGCGGTGAAGGTTGTGAAGGATTGTGACCGTGATATCTACATGGAGAACCCAGCAGAAGAGTATGATGAGTGGGATGCCCTCTTGATCATGCTACAAACGGCAACTTCTTACTCGGCTTGTAGAGAGCTAGTTCACAAACTGCGGTGGGCAACGGGTCGCACAAGCACAAAGATCACAAGACGAATAGCTGATTCGACCAGCTATGTTGGTGAAGAATTTTATAAACAGTTGGAACTACATCAGCAATAAAGCCGACACTGCTTTTCTGAGGCTTTCAGAGAGAGCCCAACACCACTCAAGTAAGGAATAGACCGCGCATCCTGTAAAGACCCTTGCAAGTCTTAAAGGTATTGGGTAGTTCTCTAAATTAGGCTTCCTTCTCAGATCCGCAGAATAGTACGGCAGCCCAATGAAAAGGACCCTAAAAGGGACCCTAATTTAGAGAACTACCTCATATGATTTGGATGAACATGGATTAACGGGCTTGGGCGTCTCTCAGGCTTTCTGCTGATGTCTAGTGCAGTGAATCCAACACAAGTCTTATGTCCACGACTGGCCTGCGCCGGGAAGAGATTTCGAGGGACTGAGAGACCGACGGAGTAGGGTTTAAGATCTTTCTCGGATTTGGGGTCTTTGGGATGTGGGTTAGTGGGTTGTTGATTTTGGGGTCGGGGGCTCCAGAGTTTAGACTTTGCTGGAAGCCTACAGGAAATCTTCTAAGACAGTCGGGAGTCCCAACAGGGCCCCTGCTATGGGCTAGCTGCTGGCAGGCCTCGCGTGGTCACGAGCTTGGGGGGATTCATGCCTGTTCAAATGCGCTTGCAGCTGAAGATTGGAAGATATTATTCTTCCACATCAGGCGCAAGCACTGTGACGGAAAACGTTTTGCGCGTTTTGCAGGTTGGCCAATTCACTTGGCCCCTTTCGAGCTTTCGAATCGAATTCGACTCGAGCCTCAGACAAAGAGTTTCTCAGAATGAGCTGACCCCCAGCTTTGATACCCTTCTCACTTTCTACTGCCCGAGGTCGAAGAACCTAGTACTCTCTTGGGACAACCACCTAGACCCACAAACCCGAAACCGAAACCGCAAGATAAGGCCTAAGCTCTCTTGAGAAACTCTCAGAAGAAGAGCTTCTTGTCGAAGGCCTCAGAGAAGTCGTTGCAGATCTCTGCCCTGCCCCTGAATTAAAGGAAACTACAGGTGGGGAGTTTAGGGATGTAGGGCTTCTATAAGGCTTCCATAAGGTATATAGATTTTCTATGAGGCTCCAATAACGGTAACTACCCACCTGAAAATGTCCCAGACTGAAACTTAATACTGAGTAGGTTCAAGCTAAAGGGCTGTTGGGTTCAGGGTCCCAAGCTTTTGGGCGATGGCTACAAGGGTTTCAGCATGGACCCTCTAGGATCCAAAGAAGGACTTGTCATGCCTCGTGAACCCTTTCAGCCCTGTCTCCCAAAACGTATTGAATCATGCAGTCTTCGCATGCTTCCCTCAAGCACGCCCCGTGAACCTAGACCCCAAACCCTGGACCTTAAACCCCGAAACTCCCCAAACAAAAACAACAAAGCCCTCAAGCCCTCAAATCTACAAGCCCGTCCTGAAAATTTCTCAAATCCCCAAGAAAAAACTCCAAACCCTAAACGCCTACTACTGGTAGCACTACAGTTACCCTAACCCTAAAACTGAACTCCCGGCTAGCAGAACCCGAGCCCTTGAGTGATTAGCCCTTGTAGAATCGCTGCAGACCCCTTATGAAAGCCTTATTTTGAGGGTTTAGGGTTTAGGGTGCAGAACCCTTGCAAAACCCCTTATGGAACCCCCCCATAAAACCCTCACCCGAAAATTGCCCGACCAGGCGGCTATCACCTTTCCAAGGATGCCGGCTCGTTGGAAAACCTCACCGGAACGCCGGAGGCGAACACCTGAGTCGCTTAGAGTAATCACAACAGGAAGAAGAAAAAAGAACAACAACTCATACCAACAGCACTCGTAATTTCAATATTAGTAGAAATGACAGCACGAGCAGCGAGCAGCAAAAGCAATGCAAACAAATGCGAATAATGCTACCAATGCAAAAACCGCAGTGGTTTTAACCATGCTAAAACAAGAACAATGGCAATAATCAGAAACATGTCATGCATGGCAATGACAATAACAATGGCAGAACCACTAGCAGTAAAATGCGAAGAACCATAGTCATCATCACAATCATGACCAGACTTATAATGATGGTACGGTTTGACAACATCGAAACCAATAAGAAAAATCACAACAATAATAACGACAAACTTCATAATGGCAAGAACAAAAGCTGCAGTAACATCACCAATTAGTAGTAGCAATATCCATATAGGCGTCGTAATAACCGTGATAATTAGAAGGGGTTGTGGAAAACGGGTGAAGGGTATAGTGTAAGTATAATAAGCATCCCTAAGGGATAGTATGAGATAGTGTTATCTAGCTCTTTAGGCCTCTATATATTCACCCACTGCCACAAGGTCTGCTGATTTCCAAAACAGTTCCAAAAGGCGACTATGCACAAGTTTAAGGGCTTTAGAAAGTTCCATAGGGCTGAGGTTTAAGGTTCAGGATCATGGATTCAGGGTAGAAGATGTCGGATTTCAAGGCTCGTGATTTTGGCGTAACAAGACTCCCTAAGCTCCACCCACTGAGACGGGGGAGGCCAGATATTGGGGGAGAGCAGTCTCAAAATCCCCCGACCCTAATGTAGGGGCCTTAATAATCAGAATAGGGTTTCGGGGCCCATGATACTATATTTATCATAAGGAACCCCCCAAATGACATAGTTAGTTATTTAAGCCCCTATATTAAACCTCTAAACCCTAAACCCCACTCACACACTCCGAACGACGACCTGGATCATGCACGGAAGAGTGGACCCCGCATTGCCCGCAGAAGTCCATCATACTAATAATCGCAGTGATAATGATGATAAGCGCGAGAATAACACCAATACCAGTAAGATAACAATATGAGCAGTAATGCTGATAATGGTGCCGTTCAGGTTCCATGCTGGTCAATCTGCAACCTCAGCCACAATATCAAAGTGAAGTCAATGCCCTAAGCTTTCAAACCCTAGGTCTAAACCCATACCTTCCAAGCTCGAAAGCCCCAGACCACCAAGCCAGAACACGATACCGTAAACCCCGCAGCGCTACACTCTAAGCCCCTAAAACCCCCCCAAAAAAAAAATGAAACCCCACACCCTTAGTACCAACACCCTTGAAACGCTCTAAATCACTTTCTTGAAAAGTATAAACCTCCAAATATGACACCCTCCACCCATCTTGTAAGAACCCTTAAAACACTCGTAAACCGCTGTGTTCAAAGGTTTCACCCCAAAAAACCCTAAACCCTCAACCCTAAAGGTCCCAAGCCGCTCCTCTTTTTGGGAGCCTTCATAATTAAAATTGGGTTTTGGGTTATATTATACTGTAGTTATAATAAGGAACCCCCCAAAAATACTATAGGTAATATTAAGGCGCCTATAGTAAGGCCTTAAGGAACCCCAAATACTATAGATAATTATTCTGGAGCCTATATTAAGGCCTCTCCTTCACCGCTTCGTCGGACGCCAAGCGGCTTTCGGCTTCCTGGAAGGCTTCGTGTGCAGCCGTCTGGAGAGACGCCTCGGGCTTTGGGCTTAGGGGTTTAGGGCTTTAGGGTTTTAGGGTTTAGGGTGTAGGGTTTAGAGTTTAGGGTGTGGGGTGTAGGGTTTTAGGTTTGTTTTTGAGGGTTTCGGGTTTAGGGTTTCGGGTTGAGACAATGCTTTCAAGACCATTCCGACTAAGCTTTAACAAAGCACCTAAACCCTACTTGAAGGCCCAGGGGACTTAGTAACTAGGTTATAAGTAGAGTTATAAGCGCCCTAAATGGAGTTACCCCAATTATAACCCTACTTATAACCGACTTACCAAGTCCCCTGGGCCTCTAAGTATG